TATAACATTCTATCATCTACAATTTTTATTATATCTATTCATAAAATTTGATGCTTCATGGAGGCTAGAAGAGAGGTAAGATATTTAATAGCATATTTGAAATGAAAAACAATTCTAAATAGATTCCTAAACATGAGCCCTTCAACTGACATATTCAATATAAACCCAACTGTTGCCTGAGTATTTGGGAAAGAAATCAAAATCTGTCACATACTCACAGTGGCATAATAAACAAAAGTTAATTGATGTGCTTTGTTTGAAATACTTCCAGGGAGACTTGCAATGAGCAAGGCTCTTCTGTATAAGCAATTCAGCAGCATATGTTGGCACACCTAGGAAAAGTCATTGTGTATAAATGCTTTATGCCATCTGGTGTATGGCCTAAAATATCAAAAAGAAAGATGTGCAGCTAAAATGAATAGGTGACTCTATTTGGAGTACTTTTGACTCATCAGGTAAAGCACTTTGTGGTTAACATTTCATGGTGAGATTTTTTAAAACAAAATTTGTTTTTGTTTTTAATGATATTTCCATACTTTGAATGTAATCTTTAAAGTAGCAAAAGAGAACCATTAATCTCTTTTCTCTCAGTACCTATCTTTCTCCTCCTCCACACATGCCTCCTCTGTTAACATAAATGGAAACTGAGTGTGGAAAGGGGGATGTATTTTGGGAAGAATCAAGTTTTTTAAAATACTTAATCAATAGAACTCCAATGTAACATAGATATTGTTTTAAGAGAACAAAGTTTTTATAGAACTTCCACAATGCATCAGGCACTGTGCTAAGTATTTACATATATTAGCTCACCTAAGCCCCCAGAGCTCGTTCACCACCACCACACAGAGAGGGGACCCAAGTCTCAACAGAATTAAAGTGAGTGAAGCACCCATGAGTGAGCTTAATCCAAAGCTTTGCTCTGCCATTTCTACTATGCTATGCTTTCTCCAAAATTAAATATAAACAAGAAACTAACATTTATTCAAGAATTATTTGCATTCCAGACACTGTGCAAAGAATGTATTCAAGTCTTGTGTTTAATCTTAACAGTTACTCAAGAAAGGGCAGTATTATTATCATCCCATGTTTGGAGTGAGGAAATGTGCTCAGAGTGGTTAAGTCACCTGCGCAAGATCTCACAACTGGTAAATCAGAGAATGGGATATTCCCAACTAGTCCCTTTCTTAATCTACTACATCAGTCCTTCTCAAACTGAATGTGTGTATAGGAGCAGGGCCTGAGATTCTGTATTTATGACATGCACCCAGGAGGTAATGACAATAATAATTGCCTAAGGACCACAATTTTAGTAGCAAGGAATTACTCATGCTGTCCTCCATTGTAAGATTTTATAACTCCTGTAGAAAATAGTCTTTTGAGACTATCAATGAGTCACCTAGATTTAAATTTTAAGGCTTAAAGAAAAACATACTGTTTTTTTCCACAAACAAGTTAAATATTCACAACTTTAAGATTACTTAAGGATAGGTAGAAACATAAAAGAGAGACAGCAAGAGACAGAGGTAGAATTAGCTGCAAATTTTGTAGCAATGGCTTAACATCTTATTTCTTTCTTTTGAGTCTCATGTCAAGGTTAGTGTGAGTTGGCTGAATTATGGTGTCTGGAATTTCCCCTTGTGTTGACTTCACCATCTTCCTGGCAACCTTCATTAAAGGCAGTTTTTACCATCTTCAAGCCCAATACAAAGGCATGCTCCTGTATATGGTTACAATATGTGTGTGAGAGAATTATTCTTCAAGAATACCACTTTTCCAATTTTAATACTAATCAGAAAATTTAACATAGATATAAAAAATTGCCATTTCTTTCTTAATGAAAATGTCAAGTTTCAATAATGAATAAGAAAAACTAAATTTGAAAGCCTGTATGGTCATTGCTAAAAAAAAAATAAGGGACACACATAATGGAACTGTAAATGTAAAATAACTTGTAAGGATGGAGTTGGAGGTGAGCAAACTAGTAGTAAATTCATGAATTTGAAATCTGTTGTAAGGAATGGTCATTAATATTTTGAGTACATTTACTTCCAAGAAGTATAGATTTACATTCATGTGTAGTTGGCATTAAAGTCTCTGAATTATGTAACATTAGAATAATAGTTTTAAGAGAAAAAGGAAGGCTATTTAAAAAAAAGAGATGACTATAGAAGTATAATCATGATCCTATTTGAGAAATATTCTAATATAAAAGAGACAACATAACAAAATTGTTTCCAGCACAGCAGAGGATGGATCAAGTCTTCTCCGGGAGATGGTGGGAGGAGGTGCACAGGCTGGATCATTGCTGCTCTGTCTTGGGGGCTCTGAAAGGAACTAGACAGATCACCACCTGCTGTCTAAGGCAACCCTCACGAAACTCTGAAAGGTAGTTATTACTATCCCTATATCACAGTGGAACTAAACTAAGCACCAAACATAAGCCTAGAGAGGTTAAATAAATTTCCCAAGTTTACTTTCTTAACTAGTACTTCGCAAAGCCCGACCTGATTTTAGATCTTTCTAACTACAAAGCCCATATTATTTCCCGGCTACTTTCTGTAGCAAAACAAATAAACAAAACCTTTTATGGATCAGGCAACGATGCAATTGACCCATGTTTGAAACCTACATTTCCCTAAATTGAATGCCTTGGACATCAATGGGGAAGGGATTACCTGGGATTTCAACCAAGGAACCATGGTGAAAGGTGGGAATGCCATCACTTTGCTTCTTGAGAGAGCTGGCATCTGGATCTACAGCCTATCCAGTCTGTAAGGAAAGAAAAGAAGGAGGAGTCAAATGAGACATGAGGAAAAGAGCATCAAGATTCTATAATGTAGTATATTGCTACTCTGGAAAATATGGGTTTTATCAGAAATTGTCATCAGAAGACATCATGTTTGCTAGTCCATTCATTTATTCACAAATGTATTCATTCATCACTCTCTTAGTAATGGAAGAGCTCATAGTAATATGTTTGTATACTGCTATATACTGCTATTGATTTTGAAGTAAGTTTTCTTATGAAAAATTACACCATGGAAGCTAATCAGAATAAACAACCCAGGTATTGTGATTACCATTTTCCAGACGAACCCACAGACTTTGAGAAGTTAAATAATGTCTTCAAAGTCACAAGAGCTACTAAGAGTTCTGGACACAGGTTAAGTTGTTTTTCAAATTGACTGCTCTTTATATTATTTTGGTCTAGTTACTAAGCAAGATACACAACTGGAAAAAGTATAACCATGATTATATACTGATACCAACATCCAGCGATAATTAAAATAAAAGATATTTTAATACATCCTTTTTTCTGAAACAGTAAAAATAAGGTTATCTTTATAAATTTTAATATTAACTTTCTAGCATTTTGAGGTTTTCTGGAGTCTTCATTTTATTTTTGGGGGCTAACCTATTTGCATGATTTTTACTTTTTAAAAAATATATATTTTTTGCATGTTATTCTTTCCCATCTTCTATGGCTTCCACAATAATCCACAATATTTACTTATCTGTCTTTTACTGTTTTCCTCATTGCTCTAACCCCTTTTTTTTTCAATCTTTATCATGAGATTGTTCTCATTTTTTCCACTATAATTTTGTCTAAATAATGCAATAGTCAATCTAATCTTTCAACAGTCTTTCATTGAACCAAGCCTGATCCTGGATTCCCAAAGAGGTTAAGTTAGATGTTCATGTACAAAAAATCATGTTTTACTCCTTTATTTTCTACTATAAGATCGATAGGCATATAAAATGAATCCTCAGTGACTGGTAATAAACAGCAGGGAGATTGATATCATTGAATAAAAACTTAAATGGAAAGAGGAAGTATACAATTTATTTGTGAGAGAGAATTCCTTATAGGAACCTATTGTGAACATTATTAAAAAAAGTATATGTGACATTTTGAAACTTACATTTTAATTTATTATTACCAATACCAGCCAAGGAAATATGCCTCTAGCCACTTCAAAAGAAGATGTAATTAAAAATCTGTCATGAACATTATTGAACATAAATAGGAAAATATAGAAAATAGCTCTTTCCTCAGTAAAGATTACATAAATATTATAAAATTTTTGTATTGGGGTTTAAAAAATTTTTTAATTTAAATTATTACAGATGTTCCCCCTTTTTCCCCCCATTGACCCCCTCTTCCTCGTTCCCATCCCCCTCCTGCTTTCCCCAAACTAATGTCTGTGTTCATTGGTTGTGCATATATGAGTATAAGTTCTTTGGTTTATCTCTTCCTGCCTTCACCCCCTTCCCTCTGAGGTTTGCCAATCTGTTCCCTATTTCCATGTCTCTGGATCTATTTTGATCATCAGCTTTTTGTTGTTGTTATTGTTAGAGCATGTTCATTTTGTTTGTTTGTTTGTTTTTTTGTGGTATGTGCCCCTAGCAGGAACCGAACCCAGGACTCTCTGGTCCGCAGGCCGACGCTCAACCGCTGAGCCAAACTGGCCAGGGCGAGCATGTTCAATTTAATCTAAATCTAAATCTAATCCTAGAATACCTTCAATGTAAGATAAATACAAAGCCTTTTTTGTTTTTTTACTTAACACAAATGTTGTTCTATAGAATTTTCTGTTGCCTTTAAGAAAAGTTTAGGTTAGGCACAGAGAAATAAAATCCTTATTTAATAAAACACCTACACTATTTCAACTGTGTGCTTAACTTCTTATTAAATAAATATTATAAGTTGTTATAATTTTTGTATGAAAAGTATACAACTTTAAAATAAAAATTATATCACTTTATTTTCAAAATTACTATTTTAAATTTTTATTCTTGTTTACATTTTTATTTCATTGAAAATTGTCATTATTTAAATTTGGAGGGGAAGCTACTCTTTTTATAAAGGTTATTTTTACTTAAAGAAAGACTGTAGCATTAGTCAAAGAAAACAAACCTACTTTTATCTATTTAATAATACATCATTTCCCCTCATTTAATTCTATCTTAACTGGTTCCTTTTTCTTTTCTTTCAACAGGCTGAGTTAAATGACCCCATAGATCCTTTCACTCGTTACAGTAAAAAAGTTTCATCAAATATAGGGGACGAAATTTTCTCCAAGTATATAGGATGGAGAATTGCCAATGCACTTTCCAAACTATTCTTACCCTCCACCGATGCCTGTATTCTTCCTTTGCAAAAAACATTGATAAAACAGGATCAAATGAAATATCTGAATAAAAACCAAGATTCTATGAAGAAGAAAGTTCTACATTTTACTGTAAGGTAAAGTAAAGCACTATTCCAAATTAGTCCGGTTATTCTAATGCATACATTTCAAAATCATAGAAAGTATTTATAATCATGTGCCACATTATTTAACTCAGTCTCTCTTTTTTTAATTCAAAATTTTGTTCCATTACCTCCTAAGTATTCTATCAAGAGCAAGTACTGCCTTCTCAAAAACTGTTGTATCATATTTAAAATAGGTATTATTATTATAAAATATAGGTCAATGTTAAAATAAAATGGAAGCTTCCCTCCCATTACTGACCTTCATTTGTCTGGTTTACTCCCATCTCCCCTTATCATTAATTGCTTGTGAATCATTCCAATGTACATATAAGAAATTATAAGTACATTTTAAATCTTTGTCTCCAATTTTACATGAAAGCTAGCATAATAAATATATCTGTTGCATTTTTCACTTAACTGCATTTCCATGCCAGAACATAGAGACTTTCTCTTTATTATTATTTTTTATCAGTAATGATATTTTCCTTAGTAAGGATGTACTATAATTTATTTAACCAGTTCCCTATTTGTTGGCATTTGGTTGTTTTCGATTGTCTACTACTACCGACCACTACATATATATTTTTTCAATGTGGAATAATGCCTGTAAGCTAACTTCTAAAAAGTATAATTGCTGTATCAGAGGGCATGCCTCTGTAATTTGGGTAGATATTTCCAAATTACCTTTTTAAGGAGTTGTACAAATTGAATACATCTTAGTGCCTGTCAATGTATGAGATTGCCTTGTTTTTCTTTAGTATTTCCAACAGAGGATGTTGACAAATTTTGGGGGTTTGACATTCCGAAAAGTATAGTTTTTAGAAGTAGTTTTCCTTAATATGGGTGCCTTGAACATCTTCCATATATTAAAAGCCTTTTGCTTTTCCTTATATGGAAATAAGCCCCCCTCCCCCTTTTTTGTCCATTTTTCTGTTGGGTTTTTGTCTTTTCTCTCTGCTTTGCAAGAACTGTTTATCTATTAACCAATATATCCCTATGTCTATGGTAAGAACTACAAATGTCTATTTTTGCAACATTTTTTATTTATCTTTAAACCTTGCTTATATAATTTTTTGCCATAGAGTCATTTTTCTTTATAATAAAATTTATCAATTTTCACTGTGGTTTATGGATATTTTAAACTATTTTTATTTTATTTATTTACTTTTCTGTTTATTTATTTATTATTTATTTATTTATTTATTTATTGTTGAAAACATTACAGATGTCCTCTCTTTTTTCTCCATTGACAGGTCAACTGAGCTATTTTTAAAAAGCTCTTTTCATTTTAAGATTAAAGTTTTGTCACATTGTCTTCTGGTACTTTTAAGGATTCATTTTGAACATTTTAATTATAGTTCTGATGAACATTTTCTTTTTTCATCTGTCGTGTGAGGTGTCGCTCCACATGACTACACAGTTGTTCCAACAATATGTATTGAGTCATTGATCTTCCTTCAGTATTTTTATTTTAAATGCTATCTTTATTTAAAACTAAATTTCCATTTATTTTCTTTTTCTATGTTCTAAAATAATTTCAGTAATTTAAATTATCTACTCTTTCAAACTTTGTTAGCATTCCCTCTTAAACTATTAGTACCTCATGCTTCTCCTACGGGTAGCTCTTTGTCAAATTTTTCTATTTTATATGGGTATTGGCAAGGCTGATAATATTCAGTGATAATTTGCAAGAACAGTTAGATTCAGTTCTTTGTGTTGAGGCTGCTGACATAAAATTTTTTGGAGTATCAGTCCTGAATATCAGTCTCTTTTAAACTTCTTATTTCTTAAGTCAATTTTAGCAAATTATGCTTTCATTTATTATTATAAAATTACCCAATTTTTCAGAATTCATCTAGCCATAATTGAACAAAGTAGTGTCTTAAGATTTCTTTCATTCTCTCTGTTTTTGTGGTTATTCTCCTCTTAGCCAATTCTTTTTTTGTATATTTGCATTTTTCCTTTTATTTTTCTTTATTAGTTTATTTGTTTGTTTGTTTTTTATCTATTTTATATTATTTTTTCAATGAACTAGATTTTGGATTTTAACTTATATATTTTTGTTCTTATGTCTGTAAGTCTGTTACTGCGTCTATACTTTGATCTATTTTGTGTTTTTTTTCTAATTTCTTCAAGAAGATGCTAAATTATTTGGGAATTTTTTTTCCTAGTACTTGTTTAAATCATTATGGGAGTTCCTAAATCATGAGACTTTATTGCAGGTGTAATTATTGGTGGAACAAGACTAGTAAGCAGGCTTTCCTTTTGTGCACAGTCAACAGAAAAATAGAGACATATTTGAGAAGACTCTTTACATAGATTTTATCATTTTTTTATTTTTTATTTTTTTTATCCTCACCTGAGGACATTTTTCCATTTTTTGTTCAGATAGAGTGGGAGGAAGAGAGAGAGAGAAAAACATTCGTGTGAAAGGGACACATCGAGTGGTTGCCACCCGATGACCAACCAGGGCCGGGGACAAACTGCAACCGAGGTACGTGCCCTTAGTGGGAACCGAACCCAGGTCTCTCTAGACTGCAGGCCGACGCTCTAACTGCTGAACCAAACTGGCCAGGGCTTAGCATTTTTTTAAAAAAATCTAAAATCAATGAGGAAGATTTGTAAATTTGAGAGGAAGTATCACACAGCCTGCACTTTAGTAGTGTCAAGTACATAAATAAACATTTAAAAAATATTCTTCAGTATATATTAAAAATATCTATAAAATTGCAGTATGATCAAGGTACAATAAAAATGCCAACCTTAAATGTTATGGGGGTTGAGATTTACTTTAGAATCCCCAAATGTCTTCTGTATAATTTTTAAGGACCACAGACACGGAAGAAAAATCAATCTGAGACCACAAAGGGAGGACATTGAACAAGTGTATTTTGGCTTCTCATCGTGGTCAGTTAAAGGAAGGGATAGTAAGAAAGAAACTAGAAAATTAGAAGAAATTGGATATTGACAAAAGGAGTTTAAACAAACAGCAAGGGAAAGAGGCAGATGGGGATCAGTGGTGCCTGCTGGGATACAGAAAGGAAAGGCAGAGAAAGAAAAGGAGACACATTGGGAATGCTTAAAATAGCAGGACAGAGAAATAAAAGTTATTAGTACAAAGAAAGATGAAAGAGACCAAAAGGAAAGGGAAAATATAAGAAAGGAGAAAGACACACTGAGGATGAAAAGTACGAATGGAGAGATATGCACAGGGCTTTGGAGTAGGGGAAGAGAATATGCAAAATCAGAGAAGAAACAAAAAGAGATAGGGTTGAGACCCAAAGAATCCCATTGGCTTTAAAAGATTAATAAATTAAGCTTCTCATCAGAGCCTACAGTTCATTACGTAAGCATTCATATATGATCTTTGGTTAATCTCATCTCTTTATCCGTTTTCTCACAGCTCATTATAAGCCCTAGCAATTAAACTTAGAGTCCCTGGCTCAAATGAGAAAGTCACAGCAGCACAGCAGCCTGGGTATTTCTCCAGCAGAAGCTCCTCAGTGTGGCATAGCTCCCTCAGCGAATTTCATGTTGCACCATTGATGCTGTATTGCATGTGAACAGTGCCCCCTGGAGTTGTGCATATTTTCAGCTTCACTTTGGTGCAAACTAATCTCTGGGTACAAGAGAAGTGATTGGAGGAGGGCTATCGTTCAATGACATCAAGACAAAGGCTAGATCAGGCCTGGCTAAACAGTCTCTATTGTCTATTACGAGACAATATGGGATATGCCTGCTTTTAAAAAAGTTGTTGGAAAGCAAATTTAAATCTAAGCTATGCGTTGAAAAAAAGTCACTGACTCACTGAATATCAACTGTGGAAAATTTATATATTTTTTTCCATTTGCTTGATTCTTCATCTATTGAACACTCTCATAGCGAGCTCCTTCTGTTAATTCTCCACCTCCCACGTCCAGGTCCACAAACTGGAATTAATTCAATTAATGAACATCTGAGAATGTTCAAGTCTTAGAGGTAAAGCATAGACATAATTTACAGCCCACTGTATGTTCAGTTCTTTTTTTGACCTCTTAAAGATCTTCATGCATGGGGTCAATTCCTCAATAAATATTCCCAGAAAGCTCCATTTTGTGTTTTCAACAAATAGCAATGTGAAAGCCAGCAAGAAAAGCCAACATTTAAGGACTCCTACAGAAGATGAGGCATATTTAAGAGGTAGGAGGACAGAAAATTTAAGATACGATTCTTTATTGCCTTGGAGCACTAAAGCATACTTATTTCACTGTGAAGATCTGGAAATTTACTAGTAAAGAGGAAATGGGAGCTTGCTTTCTCAGGGGTGGTGGGATGCTTTCCTTATTGATGAAGCATCTGCTACATCTCAGGACCTATAATTTTCTCCAAAAACATTTTTCTCTCTTGTGTTTCTAGTGTACAAAATTCTTTGAAAACAAAAATTCTATCTTTTATATGTTCAAAAACTTATATTTTTCTCTGAATGACTTGCAGATTTGACTTTTTTAATACAGTTTTTCCAAAAGAAATGTATTATTCTGTGTCTGTACATTGAATGTTTAGGTTTTTCTTTAAGTTAATGCATCATGCTGTTGGATGCATGCATGCTTTATTTGCCCCTCAGAAGTTTTTTAAAAAATGAAAAAATCATTATAGTTCTTTACTATATCATAAAAGCTGCAGCCCAAAACCAGTCATACAATATTTCTACTTCAAAGCATAATATTTTCCTTTCCTCTCTTTGTCAGTAAAACTTTCTTAAACTTACCTTAAGGCTGAGATGCAGAACTCTTAAGACCAAATTTTCAAAAACTAGCTGCCATATCTACACTTTTTGGTCATGTAGATTCTGAGGTTTCTCAAGTTTATATTCTAAGCTTATGCCTTCAATCACTAAACACTCAAAAGCAACTGATTATTTGTACATATGGGAAGATTTGGAGAATATCATTTAAAACTTGATCTTTTATCATGCTTAGTTTGCTCAAAATTTTATGCTGGAAAACTTCATT